CCAGGTGAGATATGGCTGCCCAGGTAGCAAAATTTGTCTACTTTCTCTACAATTTTCCCCGGTCAGGGTGAGGTTGGGGTCTGGGTCAACCCAGTCTTGGAGCAGCATTTTACTCTTTGAAGATGCAAAACGCATACGGAACATGGACACACTCGCACTCAAACTATCCAAAAAAGCTTGCAACTTACCTGGATCTTCACTTAGTAGCACAATGTCGTCTGTATAATCTAGCGGTTTTGGACTGGCTCGAACCAAGACATGAGCAGTCATCTGAAGAAAGATCGTATTAATTCAAGTGAAAAAGGTTTGAAGTAACAGGAAACGCTGGTTGAGAATCAGTTTTTTCGGTCTTTACGAGAAGGAATCACAATTACAATATTAGATCTGGGTACGAGCCCTTACGGATAGGGTCTTCGGTTATTTTTATAGATTTCCCCAAGAAAGATGAGAATTTCAAACGGGTGCAAGTCTGGAAGTGAAGATATTCATCCATTAATGGTCACTGAGAAACTAACAGCCAAAGTGTATTCTGTAAACAGTTCTAGATTCAGTGAACAAGCGACGGCGGGACCGACAGTAGACGAGCATCCGCAAGACGTGAGCTGATCAGCAGAGTGAGTTGCAGAATTTGCACGCAACCATTGGTCGCGGGTCCCTTTAATACACGCCATGAGTGCGTCAGTCCTGATCATGTTTTTTTCAGTGATCCGCTTGGGTACAGCTGTAGACCACTATGGAGCAGCTTTTCGAGGTCCAAGGAGATGAAGAGAGTAGGCTATGTTAGGTGAAGTACAAAAAATGAATGGATACTGCAAAAGGAACAAAACAGTTCTCCAATCACAGGTTGCAATACTCCCCGTCACTCCATATAACCCCTCCATCAGTTGTCCGCATTTCCACTGTAACAAGCATACTGGCGACCTGTTACCATTGGCGTTACACATTCGCTTTTACACTTGACCACAATGGAGAACGATATTTGGTTTGCCCTAAGCATTCGACCGAGTTTGTTGGCAGGGCTCCTGGAAAGATTTCCCAAGTTTGATCTGTCCCGGTGTTTCATCAACTGGAGTGAGCATCCAGGTGTACAGCGCACCTGAGACGTTGAACCCCGTTCAAAGAACGCATGATTTAGCGAACTAAACATTAAACCGCAATAGACTGCAGTTTCCACAGATTGCTATAAGCCACCCTGATCGTCAAACTTTGGATGGCCGAAGGCTCAGATTGTGATGACCCAAATGAATCAACATAGTAGTGATAAGATTATTTTAGCGTGATTTGTTTGGAACAGTTTCGATTTCGACAGGCATGAAATATAACAAGGCAATAATTCTATTGTTCTACTTTGCCTCCAGCCATCAATTCCATATCTCCTCACATGCGAGAACAAGCATTGTGTCCAAGAACATTTCGGAACTTTTTCATGCGAAGCGGTACTTCATATCTTTTCATCCTCCTCGTCCTCAAGAATTTCTAATAGAGAGCGAAAAACCGCCCCTGGAATACATTCACTTTTATTGTCAGAAGACTATGCTAGGGTACACGTTTGTACCACTATAGAGCACTGTGGGATGATGAGGCATAGGAGGCAAGCACTGCTTCGAATATCTGGAATCACTTCATTTGAACACTTACCATGTCTTTCATCAAAGTCCAATGGGCGAGCCAGTGATTCCACAATATCTCGTAGCGTGTCCAGACCGACAGAACCGGCACAGAATGGACGCAATATATCATCACCTGTCAAAGTGAACGAGAACAGGGCATAGGGGTATGACGTTCCAGTGTGATCTTGGAGTAGAACTTACTGCGCGGAGGATGATTGCAACGAATCAAAAGAACGAAGTCTCTGTAACGAGGCACAAAAGTGTAATGGTCGAAATTACCAACCGGGAAAATACTGACGACCATCTAAAGCAACTAAACGAGAGTGCCCATCGAGCACACCATCTATAGCAGACGATAAAGACTACACTGGGGTAATTTAAGCGTAGAGCTATCGATCATAACGATCGAGCCCACTCAGCAGGCACAGTACACAGATGAAGAAGCGTGCCAACAGTTAATTCCTGATCGAAACTGTGAGGGTCAATCCACGACAGGATTCGCACATTGATTTGCGGAGTGGTACAGAATTAGCAGTAAACAAGTTGTTGTTGTTGTTGGTGGTGGTGTGTTCTCCAAGGTGGAAGTGTTGTTTGCAGATGTTTCTTGGTCAGGCTAGGCAGCATCATCAATGAAACTCCGGGAAGGTGGATAATAATAATAATAGTTTCAGTTTTAGTTTTCCAGTTTGAACAATCATTAACCATGCACTTTCGTGCGCCGGTTTTGGTTGCCGTCTTTTGGCTGCCCATTTGGATGAAGAATAGGAGAAGAAAGGAAAGTTGAAAGTGGAGTCGAACCGAAAATGGAGAAGTTCAGTGGTCTAAGGTTGCAAAGAGATTGAGGAGATGCACGAACGCCACCGTTTACGACACC